GACTGTCATGGGCAGCCGACTCAGTCACTAAACGAGCCACCGGCACCACGCGGCCGCTGCCCAGCCGCACGGACGCAGCCACGACGCAGGGCTTCCCTACGAGCGCGTCTTGCGGGTTGGACGGCTGCCCCTCTTGTATGCCACCCACCGTGCCTTGACCACTGTTGCGTGACTGCCCCCCGTGTCTTGCTCATAGCAAATTCGAGCTTGACTGACCAGATTGGACCCCCCATCCCACTGGGAGGGAAATCTTTGAGCGACACAGCAGCACAAGCCACCCAAGGCAAAGTGCTCCACAATCTCAACTGGCCTTCATAGTTTGCCTCAAGAGTGGAGGCTAGAGCATCACAGCCTGCACAACTGCCTGCTGGGCTGGGCCGCTCCGCGGCAGCTGGGGTCTACCGCACCTGTTGTGATGGTGGCCATGACTCATGGGGCGACCCAGATCAAATTGGAGACGTGCGCGGTTCTGTGCTTATCAAGGTGGTTCATGCCACACATATCACAGTTTTGTATAAGCTATAAGTACGGCGCGGTCAAACCTGGGCGATCTCGCAACGAGGCCGAGCGCAAAGTATGCCGCCGAAGCAGGAGGACAAGAACGCGAAAAAGAAAGATGAAGGTTCTCCAGAGTGAGCGTAAGCTGGATTGCCGTCAGGGCTGGCGTCGCCGCCGTTGCCTCGCCGCTCCGGTGCTCGTTGTGCACTGAAACTGTGTGCTAACAGCGCGCAGCCGTGTGTGCACCTGGCGCGAACAAACTCTAGACAAGCAGTATCCATGGCCAGGACACGGCATGGAGCCACATCAAACGTGTGTACCATGTGCAGGGACCGGCTTCGAGGGGAACTTGCTGTGCTGGAAGGGTTCAAGCAGGACCAGGAGCTTGCGCTGGCAATGCTCACAGACAAGCTGAAGCAGGCGAGGCGCGCACGCGGGGCGCAGCGCATGCACAGGCTGCGTGACCACACACGGTGTGTGTGTTTGTGTGTGTGTGTGTGTGTGTGTGTGTGTGTGTGTGTGTGTGTGCTTCCGGTTGTGTGCGTGTGTGTGTATCGTAGAGCAGGGCACGCATGGGGCTGGCATGCTGCATGCAACTGCGGTGCATTGTGCGCATGCAGTGTTTCAACGCCAATCTCAATGCGAAACAGCATGCCAGCATTTGTGGGAGCAGCATGCCGACCCATGTAAGTGTTCGTGTCCGCACGCGTGCCCTTGCGGCAGGCGCGCCTGGAGAACGAGCGGCTGCTGCAGGAGGTGGAGCGCTTCAGGCAGCGCATCATCAGCGCGACGCGCGACTACGTGAGCAGCAGCTCCCCTGGATCACGGCTGCACACAGCCCCACATGCTCGGCTCTTGGGGGTGCAGAGCGTGCGCAGCGGCAGCGAGGAAGGCAGCTGAGGCTCCTTGAAGCTGGGCGGCTGACTTACCAAGTGTTGCTGCTGCTCTCCACCCTGCGGAACAGAAATTCCTGCATCTCCTCCCACCCCATGCATGCATGCAAATGCACACACATTCACCCCCCCCCCACACACACACACATGCACCCATGCACGCGCACACGCTCACGCACGAGCTAATGCGCGGACACACACACACACACACTCTCGTAAACACAACCCAACACAAGCAAACACACACACACACACACGTATGCACACACGCATGCATGCACGCACGCACACATGCCCACACACACACTCACACACACGCACACTCTGACCAGGCTGACATCCTGGAGCACCGCGAGGAGCAGGTCAAGGCGGCAGAGGCGCGGTGCGGCGAGCTGGCGGGGCAGCTGGAGCGCGTGAGGGCCGACCTGGGGCAGTGCAACGAGGACATCGGGAAGCTCAAAGTGGGCTGACCTGGGCTCTGAGGGCCAGGGCGTGGCGACAGGCGGGGGATACGGTGATGGTGGCAGCATGTATTCAGGGACAACTGTGCTGCCGCGGACCGGCCAAGCCCCGCCCCACACTTGCACACCCAATGCTGGGCACTTGTCTCCAGAGACATGATTGTGCACGGCATTGGGCAACATATGTATAGTGCATGCGAGCGCCGGCCCAAGCACGCAAACACGCACACGCACGCATGCACGTGCATGCTCGTACGTAGGGTGACAACTCCATGCTGCAGTCGCGCGTGGAGGACGCGGCCTCGATGCTGACGGACCGGGACACCCTGGAGCAGACCGTGAAGCGGCAGCACGGCGCCATAGAGAAGCTGGACCGGGAGCTGAAGGTGGCGCGGGGCCAGGTCGAGGTCAAGAACGAGGCGATTGCCAAGGCAGAGTGCGCGGCCGATTTCGGGGGCGGGTGGATCGCGTGAGAGCTGCGGCTGGCATGCGGCAGAGTGGCGGTGCGGCAGGGGTTTGTCGCTGGCAGGGTTTCAGGGCTTGATGGTGGCCGCGGGGCAGCAGCCCCACGGCCACTGACCCCTTTGTGCACCGACACTACGCGCGCTGCTGTCGCGCCTGGATTCCGCCTGCCGGCTGAACTGTGTTGCGCATGCATTCACGCGCGCGCACGCGCCGCTGATGCAGGTCTCAGATAGAGGAGCTGACCCTCAAGTGCGCCGGGACCACGCAGCTGAAGCTTCTGTTCAACGAGCCGTGGCTGCTGCAGACGAGCCACATGCGGCTGCGGGGCGACGTGCCGGCCGACCGCGAGGCCAACACTCTGACACCCCTGCCAGGTGCGGCCGCGGGATCCTTGGCAGAGCAACGGGCGGCCTGCTGTTGTTTTGGTGTTGGGCTGCGATTTGGGATCTGGCGAGCGGTTGCCTGTGTTGGTCACAGTCAGGGGTAGCGGCGGCCAGGTGCCGCTTGCAGCACGCGGCCACCTGTGTGCACTGCCCGCCCGTCCAGGCCGCGCCCGAGGCTGCGCGCTCGCGCTCATGCGCACACGCGCGCGCACGGGTTGGCCGGCCCCGCAGGCGGCAAGCAGCTGGTGCTGATGGGCGGCCACTCGCGCACCCACGACGACGCGGGGCGGGACGTGGCGGCGCTGAGCCTGGACAGCCTGCAGTGGGAGCGGCCGGAGGGCGCGCGGCGGGACGCGGGGATGCATGGCCACACGGCCACTAGCATCGGCCGCCGCCTCGTGGTGGGCTGCGCCGGCTGGCAGCAACCTCGGGGGCGGGGGCCTGTGTTGCAGCTGACAACATATATGTTGAGATGGCGATGGCGGCTCTCAGGGAAGCGGCAGAATCCACGGCAGCGCATGCTGCAAAAAGACCGCCGCATTGCCGCCATGCCGCTCCGCCGCTAATTCGCCTCGCCCCCGCCGCAGGTGCTGTTTGGGCTGCGCGGCGAGGAGGCCTCCTCCTCCGCCTCCGTCCTCGCGGCGGACACCCTCCGCTGGGCGCCCGCCGCCGCCCGGCCCCCTGCCGGCGCCGCCGGCGCGGCCGCGCAGGAGCCGACGGCGCGGCTGTCGCACGCGGCGGCGTGCGTGCGGGAGCGCGTGTATGTGTTTGGCGGCATGACTGGCGAGGGGCTGCTGCTGGGGGACCTGTGGTCGCTGGACACAGACTCCATGCAGTGGGCGCAGCACGCGACGTTTGGCGCCGCGCCGGCGCCGCGGAAAGGCGCGCAAGCGGGCGGGGCGGTGCGCGGTCATGATGATGCAGGGGTCTGGGTTGCATGCGGGGGCCGACGGCGTCCTCCTGCTGGTCAAGGCCCCTTCCGACGTCGTGGCAGGGCTCGGGGCGCATGCAAAATCAACATAATATGTTTTTTGCATTTACATTTCTGCCTCTCCATGTCCCCCCCTCTCTTTCGCGGCGCGCGATCGCCAGGGGCAACGCTGTGCGCGACGGACGACGGGCGTCGGCTGTACTTGTTTGGCGGGCACGACGGTAGCCAGCTGCTGGGGGACGTTCACTACCTGGAGGTGGGCGATGACTCATGCTTGGGCGATCACTCATGCATGGCCGATTACTCATGAGTGTGCCTATGAAGGGCTAAGAACGTCAGCGAGGACAGGCGTGGCCCCGGCCGCTGACAAGGGGCGTTGAGCAAGGAGCCAAGGGCAAGGACATGCACCAGCCGGCGGACCGACTCTAGTCCCTGCGCACCGAGCCGGCTTTCTCATCGTCCACCTCGTCCGCGATGAGTGTGCTAATGCACACATGTGCACACGCACACAGCTGCATGCATGCGCTTCGGCCCCCCACACCCACCCCCCCCCCTCCACACGCGCGCACACGCACGCACACGCACACACACAGGTGGAGCGAATGACCTGGAGCAAGGTGACCCCCACCGGCGCCGCGCCAGAGCCCAGGGAGAACCACACAGCCGCCATCCTGGGAAAGTACATGATTGTCACAGGCGGTAGCGGAGCAAACAGCAGCGGCGGCAGCAGCGG